CCGCTCGCTGCTGCCGAGGCGGGTCCCAACTCCGCGCAAGTCCATGGTGAGGGGCTCTGGGGAGCAGGAGCCGCCGAGGGAAACCCTCGAGGACAGGCGAAGGGCGCCCGGGGGCTGCACCCCCGTTCCGCTGCCCTCTCCTCCGCCCTAATTCGAGACTGTCGCCCCCCACGCTCTTTATTGCACACGCACTTTCCTCCCCCTCGCCCAGCCGCAGCCCCCGGCTTCTCTCCTCTCCCAGCGGAGTAGGGCGCGCCAGGCTCTGCGGCGCCCCTGGGCTGTTCTAGCGATGCCGCCGCGGCTGCCCGAAGGCGGCCTGCGCTGCGCCCGCCGCCGCTGCCAGGCTGCTCCGGGAAGCCTTCAGTTTGCACAGCCGAGCCGCGGAGGGGCGGAGGGTGGGGGGCTGGCGGGAGGAGGAGCCTGGAGCCCGGGCCGCCCGCAGCCGGCAGCACCTCCAGCGCCGGCGGGACACGGCTGCCCCTAGACCCGCGCCCTCGAGGCGTACTCCCGGCTGTCCCGCCTGGGAGGGCTGGGGGCGCGGCTGCTCCAGCTACGGGGCGCGGGTGGGGCTGGACAGGCAGGGAGGTGCGGAGCTGTGGCAGCCCTGGCCTTGCGAGGCGCGCGCGCCACCGTGTGGCCGAAGGAGCTCCCTCCTCTGCCCGCCGCACTCCGCTTGTCACCCGGCAGGGGAGGGAGCTGCCAAACATTTAAATCAGAGCTTCTTGGTATTTGGAAGGATTGGGGATCTGGAAAGATGAGGTTTAGGGCCGGAGGAATAACCAGGTAGTTGCACGTTGGTGAATGGAAGGAAAGGCTGTCGTCGAGGGGGAGGGAGGTGAAGAATCTGGATGGCCTAAAAAGAAGCTTTAGGGACCACCCTCATCCACCCTAGGCCTTTGTCTTTTTAAAAAATCCACTATTTTGTGAAGAAGTGTCAGGGGAAGTTGCTGGATCTTTTAAATTTTTATTTGAAAAATATCAAAGCCTTTAGGGGAAAATAGAATACCTTCATCTCCTGCTTCCCGAGGCCTGGATTTTAAGGTCAGCACAGTCACCTCCCCTCAGAGCAAATCAGGGCCCCCTCAGGCAAGCTGAAATGCCAGCTACAGAGATTTCCATTTTCCTCTGTGCTGAAAGCTGCCTTGTGTTCACTGGGTCAGCTTTTTATGATGGTAATTTCTGAGAGAAGAAACTCTTGAGTCCCTGGGTTCTTTCACTGGGCTATCCAATTATAAAGTTGGGTGGAATTGTGGCCAAGCTGAAAACATGCTTTTTGCCTAAAGAAGTGGATCAACTTGGCCCTGGGCATGTCATTTCTGGAATGGAGTCAGAAAACTGCAGGAATCTAGCCTCCCTGGGAGTCACTGATCTAGGAGGCCAAGGGAAATTACCTCCGTAGGGTAGGAGGAGAATCTAAGTCAGAATCCCTCCACGGGTGGGCAGCGTGTGTCCCTGGCAAAGCTGCCACAAGTTACAAGATGATGAGCAGGGACTCTGAGACCTGGCTCCCTCCAGAGCAAGGAAAGGTGGTCCTGCTGCCCCTCAGCGTGACTAAGCTTTAGGCGAATTTCTTCTGAATTGTAGCCCCCTGACCTCCCTGTTCTCAGAGAATTTACTTTAGCAAACCTACCACATATTCTTTCTCTGACCCTTTGAGATGCAAACCGCCTCCCAGCCTCAGTTCTGAGTTTTATTTCCTAGGAATATCTTTCTCAGACCTGGGAGGCCAGTCCCTGGGGAGAGGCGGAGCTAAGGTCCGGGAGTTGTGTTGCAAACACAAATGGCCTCATTGCAGGACCAGCCCCCCTCCCAGGACCCTGCGGTCCTTTTCCAGTAACCCACCTAGCCACCCCCCTTCTTTTGTTTCGGTGGCGGCGTTGACTCAACTCTCTCTGCCCTATTGCAGTAGTCTTGAAGAAAGACCTTCTTACCTGTTTAACTGCATCGGATCCGATGTTTCTTTGATCTCTCCCTTTCTCTTCTAAGACCCGTTTTGACACAGGAAGGGGCAATGAAAATCAGAAAACCCTAAGTCCTGTCTCTATTAGTTGTTAGTTCTTGTTCTTGAACAAATAATCTAACCTTACTGGGCCTCAGGCAGCTAATGATACAATGTGCGGGAAGTGCTTTACCTTTACCGAGTTACCCTACAGAAATGCAACCTGCTTATTACCAATATGTCCTCTGAGCAGGCTCTTACCTGCAAATAGGATCCAGGACTTCTGTTTATTCCTCCATCACAGGTTCTTCAAGAGTCCTAATCTGTAATAAAATGAAACACCCAGCTCCTTTCTCTGCTAACTCCCTTAGATCAGTTAACACCTAGGTGGATATTAGAAGGCAGAGAGATGACTGAGAGGAGGAATCCGATGTGCACTGGAAGGACAAGACAGGAGGAAAGCAGAGGACAAAAGTGCTCCAGAAATTAAATACACTAACAGCTGCTAGGTCACCTTGAGGTTTTATTGTTTCTAATTTGGGTCATTGATTCAGGATAATTAATGAATGAATAATGTTGCTTCATGTTGCTAAGGTCAGATGTGGTGCCATTTAGGAGCTTCGCTTGGCTGCTAAAAACCAAAGTCTAAATAGTCACTTTAGTAAGGCATTGATTTCCTCTAACAACTTGTATTCTAAAGACAGGCAGCAGAGGGGTGGTCTGGCATCTTCATCATACCAACAAAGACTATATTCCTTCTCTTTGGTTGGCTATCCTTGCCATGGTTGACCTGAGTCCATGAGATGGCTACCAGGTTTCCTGCCACCCGTCTCCATTTAAGGCAAAGAGAAGGTAGGAGCAAATCCTAAAAGGTACATGCTTCTTAAAAAGTTTTCCTGCCAGTGTAATCCGGGGAGTCTTGTTTATATTCTAAAAGGCAAAGCTTGCAATATGACCATCCTGCTAGCTGGAAGGAAAGCTAGGACTTTATTTTTTTAATTTGTGCATATTAACATCACAAGTAAAACCAGTGTTGTATAATTTTTAATTTCAAAATATTAGTGGGGTACAAATGTTTTTGGTACATAGAGATCTTGGATAATGTTTAAGTCTGGGTTTTTGGTGTGCCTGTCACCAAAACAGTATTCATTATACCAAATAGAAAAGTTTTTAGCCCTCACTCCCCCCGACCTTTCCTCCTTCCTAGTTTCCAGCGTCTTTTACATCTTTTGTCCCCGTGTGTACCCAGCATTTAGCTCCCACTTCTCAGAACTTGTAGTATTTGTTTTTCTATTCCTGAGAAACTTCACTTAGGATAGTGAACTTCTATCCACATTGCCACAAAGGACATTATTTTGTTCTTTTTTATGGCTGAGTGGTACTCCATGGTATACAAATGCCACATTTTCTTTACTAACTCATGAATTGATGGGCACTTAGGCTGATTCCACATCTTTACAACTGTGAATTATGCTGCGGTAATCCTTCCAGTGCAGGTGTCTATTTGATAAAATTACTTCTTTTTCCTGAGTGGTGGGACTGCTGGATCACAAAGTAGGTCTACATTTATTTCTTTGAGGAATCTCTGTACTATCTTCCATAGAGCTTTTACTAATCTGCAGTCCCGACAACCTGTAAGCGTTCCTTTCTCTCTGCATCCAGACCAGCATCTATGGGTGTTGACTTTTTACTAATGGCCATCCTGACAGTGGTAATGTGGTATCTCATAATTTTAATTTGCATTTCCCTAATGATTAGTGATATTGAGCACTTTATCATATGTTTGTCGGCCATTTGTCTTATCCTCTTTTGAAAAACTCCAGTTTATGTCTTTTGCCAACTTTGTGATGGGGATGTTTGGTTTTTTCTTGCTGATGTGAGTTCTCTGTTGAATCTGAGTATTAGTCCTTTGTTATATAGTTGACAAATATTTTCTCCCATTCTTTAGGTTGTCTATTCACTGTGTTGATTATTTCTTTTGCTGTGCTTTTCAATTTTAGTTTCATTTACTTATTTTGGTAGTTGTGCTGTATTTGCTTTTAGAGTCTTAGTCACAATCTCTGCCTAGACTAATATGTAAATGAATTTTTCCTATGTTTTCCTCTAGAATATTTATGGTTTCATGACTTACATTTAACTCTTTTTTTTCATTTTGAATTAGTTTTTCTATATGGTAAGAGAAAGGGGTCTTGTTTCATTCTTCCACGAGTGGCTATCCAGTTTCCCAGCACTATTTATTGAATAGGGTTTCCTTTCTTCTGTATATATTTTGTCTATTTTATCAAAGATCAGTTGGTCGTAGCTATCTGATTTTATTTCTGGGTAGTGACGTTTTAATAAGAAGAAAGTAGATATTGGTGAGGCAACTAGCAGTTTTTTTGTATAAACCTTAACAGCTTCTTATGCAAACCTGAACCCTGTGTAAGTTAAATGCAAATATCTGAAAAATAGCTGTCAATGACCCTCAGTCTTTAAATCTTGATGGTGTTATCTCATGGGATTTTTAGTCAACTCTGTTTCATCCAAGCTCTCTTCTCCCTCTTTTCACAGGTCTCACTTGACCTTCTTACTGGTCCTTCCGACTCCAGCATCACCTCCCTCGAATTCACTTTCCACACAACAAACAAAGTGAAGTATCTGAAAACGTCAAGTCTAGCTGCTTCACTCCTAAGACAGATTGAATTATGGCTCATAATTCTTCATAACCCCGTCCTATAAAATCAATACCACTCTTCACCATGTGACTTTGTAGCACCTCCCCTAGATGAGACAGAGTTCTCCCTTCTCCAGTGGGATTTTACTAGGCCATGTGACTTGCTTTCCTAATGGAATGTGGGGGCACCTGGCAGTGTATCCCTTCTTGGGGGGCATCTGTCTGTCCATTCATCCTGCTGCACTTTTGCATTTCACCAGAAAAAGAGCTAACCTGCTGTCCCCACACTCGGCCACCTCAGCCAACCTATACACTTGCAGAAGCAGTGTCCTCCTCACCACCTGACAGATGGGTATATGTGAGAATACAAAATTGTTGCTTAAGCCACTGAGTTTTGGTGATATTTATTGTGCAGCATTATTAATGCAATAGTTAGCAGATTGTACAGCTCCCTGCCTTAATCCTTTTGGTGGCCCCTGAGCACCTCTCTAAGCAGCACAGCCACATTTATTAGCAGAGGACACAGTCTGGCCCTTATCCACTTCTGCAGCTCCACCTCCGACCTTATACCCTACCTCATATTTCATGCTATTCCAGTGCCAAACTGCCCATATCTTCCTATCACTAATCTCTGTTCCTTTGCGCCCCACTGATGTTACTTTTCCATGCAGGGAAAGCCTTTTCTGCTTTTCTCTGCTGGATATCTCTCACAGGCAGCATTTCCTCCAGATCCCTGGTATGAGGCCACATATCCTGGTAGGTGAGAGTCCCTCTCCCTCCCACATACGTCAACGTATTTCTCTAGCCCAGTGCCTAAAACAGAATGTTGAATTATAGAAAATTATAAGCAGGGACTCAGACAAATTAAGTCTACTCTCAACAGAAGGGTCTAGCTCCAGTGAGAATTTAATATTCTCTGCTTTCTCCAAAACAACAGATTTTTGTCATGCCCTACAGAGTTCCCAACTGCAGTTAGAGATGCTATTGGGGACATTGCTCTTTACACCCGTGATGCTTTATCATGACCTAATCCATGACCTGTACCTAATCCATGTGGTTCTTTTGGACAATTTCTTAATTTTCATCCCATAAACACTGAATTATGCAATTGGTTA